TATAGTTGTTTATTTGCTGTATTACCATTTCAAAAGGATTCTGTGGAGATTATTACTTCCTGATATTTTTAAAACTTATTGGTAGTTCCTGATATTTTTTAAAACTGGTGGTCAAAATTACCCTCCTAGATAGTGACACTATTTTATAGGAAACACTAATATTCTTTGTATTGGGTTCACAACCAATACATGAGGATGGAGATTTACAAAGAAAAGAGGTTTATTTACCTCATAGTTTTTAGAAGCTGAAAGTCCAAGATAGGGTGGCTTCACTTGATCAGCCTCTAGTGAAGGCCACATGGAAAGAGCATCATGGTGGAACCCACACAAAGGGGAAATAACGCAGCAGTTCCACCATACACAGTCAAAAAAGACTTCATTCACCAGGTGTGGTGTGGGAGGCTGAGGTAGGAGGATTGCCACAAGTTTGAGGCCAGTGTGAGCTACATAGTGAGTTGAAGGCCGGCATGAACTACATAATAAGACCTTGTCTTTAAAAAAGACATTTCCATGAAGAATATTATTAAGATTTTAAATTTATAAATTCATGCAGCTATTGCATGGAATAAATATATTAAAAGTACAAATGAAGGTGTTCTCTGATTACCGTTCTGAAAAATTAATTCCCCAGTTTTATTATGATTGTAGATATAAGAACCTTTACTTCATTAAAAGCTTTTTCAAATTTAAAACTATCTTCTATTAATAGCAATAATTTTCTAAAATCTTTCTTTTTTCCCTAAAATCTTACTTTCATTGTTACATACAATGTTAACAAAAGTTTTTTTTTAACCACTATTTGAGAGAATCTGATGTATTTGTAACAGTCTAGGGAGCTCGCAGATCTAGTCCTGCTACTAACTTTCTATGTAATCTGAAATCTCTTTCTATGTCTGTGCCACAGTTTTCTAATCTGTCTCATAGAGCATTGAAGTGTATTGTAGTTTGTTTACCTCAAGGATCAGCATACTTTGAAGGCTTTAAGAAAGAAGAAATTAGTAGAATGCTGACTAGTTTACCTGTTTCTTTAAACTCTAATGGGGAGGGGAAGACTGTTCTAAATTCCATAGGATTTTCCCCCAGTGAGAATGTGCACACTGTTAGCCAGCCAACTATGAACTGAAACCTCTACAAACTGAGTAAAATAAACCTTTCCTCCTTTTAAAGAAAAAGGATGTACTTTTGGTTATCTCCTTAATTATTTTGATATTTTTTTAATCAGGTTTGGAGAAAATTGAAGTTTTGCAGCAACATGAAAATGAAGATATATATAAATTAGCATTTGAAATCATAGATCAGTATTTCTCTGGTGAAGATGTAAGTATAATTTAAATATGGTGTGTCTGCATATAAATTAAAACATAATGTGAATTTACTAAAAATTTTCCTTTAGGGCTGGTGAGATAGTTCAGCAGACTGTGTGCCTGCTTAGGCAAACACAGGGACTGGGGTTCGGTCCCTGGCACCACAGTCTGCGCCAGCGACTGAGACCAGGCATGGTGGCACACTCCTGTAATCCCAGCATTGGGGAGGCTGAGACAGAAGGATTGCTAGGAGTCTGAGCTGTGTAGTGAGACCCTGTACCAAATACATTTAAAAAAAAAATTCCTTTTATCATTAACTATTTCTTAAGTTTTATATTTCTATTAACTACTCTATCAATCATCCCCTAAATATTTTGTCTATTACTTAATCATAAGTTATAGTTTTAAGTTGTAAAAACAATTATTGTGTGTATTTATTCTTGTGGAATAAATAGTGATTATAGAAATGATGTATGCTTAGATAGATTTATTTATTTATTTATTTATTTATTTATATTTTAGGGACGGGTCTACAGGGTGTTCAGGTTCTCACTACTAGATCAGACTCGTAGTGATCCAACTGTTAACAGCCTCCCATGAGCTGGGATTACAGGCATGTGCCACCACGCCCAGTCTCAATGGCTGTCTTAGCGCACCCCCAGGACAGGGCCAGCATGGCAGGCCCAGGGATCGAAGCCCCAGCCCCTGCACCTGCTTGTAGGTGCTTTAATCCACTGAGCTGTTTGACCGGCGCTTAGATAGGTTAAATAAGTTCCTGCAGGTACAGGAACTTAAGAAAGGGATGGTTTTAAATGTGTGTTCAACTTTAACTTACTAAATTTCTTAATAAAATTACTGATTTATTCATACAGAATTCTATCCTGAGAGGTAAAAAAATAAAGGTAATTCAGCCTGTACCACAATTATATATAAGGGCTTTTTCTTTCCTTTTTCCATAGATTGATGAAGATCCTAGCCTCATTCCTGAAGCAACACAAGGAGGTACTTACAATTTTGACCCAACAGCCAACCTTCAAACAAAAGAATTTAATTTTTAAGGTTAATCGATTGCAGCATCTTCCTCATGTTCAACATGAAGCACCACCAGGTGGCTCCCAAATAATAAGGAAACAACAGCAACAAAAGGCTCCAAAACATACATGCCTCTTCGTTTTGATGCTTCTAAGCAAGCCATGTCTCAGTCACTTTGCAGTTGCCAAAACTCACTCTCACATGGACTGTAAATGCATATGCATGATTTCCTAAACTGTTTTAGAATTCTCCTTAACAGTCTCAACTACCCTGTTTTCCGTTCCCTGGTGCCACATGCTGACAACTGCAGTCTAGTTTAGGATATCCCATAGTGGTGGCATGTCAGCTGCCTACTGATACTCCTTTGGAAAATGGTGCGTTGTGGATCAAGACACTTTGGTATGATGCATCTTCACATTGGAAGACTGAAGAGGTGCAGTATGATCTGAGCCTCCATCATTGTCCTCCACAAACATATTTTCATATTCTTTATTTGGAAGACTAGATTTTAAAGTACAAGCCAAATGATTTTCATTGGTGGAACTGAAAAAAACAAAAAGTAACTTAAAAACAGAAACTTGGTTGTTGATTAAACCGATAAGTTTTTTAAAAAACAAACAAAAACTGTACTTCATATACCAGTAATTGATGTGTTTATTATCTGCCTCAGAAGCCAGGGTTGGAGGAAGAACTTTAGATACGGATGTAATGCTTTTGCCATTATATCTAATTTTTAAGAACAGCAAGCCCTATTTGACCACTCACTTCAGCCTGTGTGTTCCTGCTGTTTTGAAGTAATCAAATGCTGTGCATGGTATTTTACCTGAGCTGCAACCTGTTACAGACTTGAACTTCTGTTTCAGTTGAAAGCAAGAGTCCCTGACTACAAAGGAAACACAACAGAAAAGCAAAAAAAATTTAAAAAGCAAACAACTGCAAAGATCTAAAATACTCAGTGGTGATGTTAAAAGAAAAACGTCTTGCTTTCAGCTTTCAGGAGTTAATATTTTTTGTTTTAATTTGATAATTGGATATGGTTGATTTATATTGGGTTTAAACTGTGGAACTTTCATGTTTACTGTAATTTAGTCTTAAAACATTTTTTTACTAGTAACCAGTGCTTTTGATAATGTGGTTGGCAACAAACCAGCAACTAGTGTTATAAGACTTCATTGAGTATTGGAAAGGTTACTTCAGATCCTACTCTAAAAGCATTGGCACCTATTAAAAAATTCAAACAGGGATCTGTGTAGAGGAATAATCTGTGGTAATTTGTAAGCCTAATTTGCAGTGATCGTTTAAGTAATTCTGCAAAATCCGGCATTACTATGAAAGTCAATGCTTTTGGCAAAATGTCTGACCCAGTTATTAATGAACAAATATGGATTTAAAACTTTTAAACTAAATGAGTTGTGCTTTTGCAGAAATAGTTTTGTTGCTCTTGTTTACTGGATATAATTTCCCAATGTATTGATGTGAAGGGATAGAAAATCTAAACTAATTTAGTTATCTGATGGGGGTGTATTTACTGTGATGAAGATGAGACAAATTCCATCAAAGCTTTACAAATCAGCTGGGGTGTTTTCACTGATAAACAACACATAGCAGGTGTGCATCATTACAAAATATGTATCTGCCAAGGTGGAGCCACTTTAAAGAGTGAGTTTTGTCTTGTATCTAAAGTGGATACAAGCGTATGTTTAAACTGCAAGATTTTTACTTGCTAGAGAATCTGTTTTAATATAGTGGTTTGGCCTCTGATTATTTATAGGTTTTATAAATTTTAGAATCAATTTCTCTTTAAGGTGGCTCAGATTTTTCAACTCTTATGCACATAAAATTGAGTTGAAGTTCATTGTGCCTTTTTTTCTTTATCCAAATTTTGTGTTAAAGCTTCATATGGTAACTGCATCCTGTTCAGGCACTACTGTCTAGATTTTTGCAACTGTGTGGTGTTCACTAAAAGTAAGAATAACAAAACAAATTAAGGTCACAAGCTTCGGTGAAACCCTTAAAGTCCAAATCTTCTTGATAGTGTAAATTGTCCCCCTTTTCAGTTTAATTTCTTCCAGATTCTCCATACTTAACTGACAGTTACCTTTTAAATTTTGCACATGTCCAGATTAAAATTGGGCCTCAGCCATGATGATTCCTATTTCCTCTTGTGTTTTAAGTGCAAACTAACATTTAAGTGAACATTAGCATCAAGTAGTGCATACATATGTATGCATTTGCTTGATTAAATTTGTTGTGACCTTACCAGTTTTTAATTGGAATTGCACCATTTCGTAGATAAATGGAACTAAGTATATTGCTGCACTTTTAAGTTTTCAAAACAGTGTTTAAAAATTGCATTGTTTTTATTTTTTTTTTAAACTCGTTTGAAAAAGACTAAAACCTTTCAAAAGAGGCATCTAAACGTGTTCCTAATTTTGTATATGGGCTTAGGTTTTGTAACCAATAAAAAAAAGCTGCTATCAAATATGATAAAACATTCAAAGACTTATTTCTGACAGTAATTACTTAGCTTTGTTTTCTTCACATTGGTTTAGATGTAGATTTTTTTTTTTTTACATATCAGTTACAATAGAGGTAAATCGTGACTTCTCTTTCATTGTATCCTGGTATCTCTTTCCAGCTCAAACAGTGATAACCCATAACTTCTAGAGAACATTTGTGATACATAAAAAGTTCCAACATCTACATTTCCCAGTTTGCCATAACAAAGCACTACAATCCAAGTGATTTCAGACAATACAATTTTGGGGTCTAGAGCTCCTGGGCCATGCTCTCTGGGTCTGGAAAAGATCCTCCTTCCCTCTTCTTCGTCTGGCTGTGGCTGGCAATCCTTGCTGTCCCTTTGGCTTGCAGCTGCATCATTCCATTCCCTGCCTCTGCCATTTCAAGACCCCTGCCCTAATGTATCACAGATTTAAACACTGCAACAGAAGAGTCCATTTATTTAAGGTGTTATGATTTTGGTTTTCAAAAGACAAAGCAAAACTTTTAAGGCTTGTGCAACCATTAAAACCATGTAAACTGTAACATAGAAAATACTAATTGAAGTATCCTAAAAGTTTTAACCTGTTAGATAGAAATTCTGGCTTTACATGAAATCTTGGATTACTTAAAAAAAAAAAAAAAAAAAAAAAAAAAAAAAAAAAAAAAAAAAAAAAACTTTTGAGTCTAGAAATACTATTTTTATATAGTGCCACTTTAAATTATTTTGAAAGAAGTCAGTATACAAGTAATTATATAATCATGCTATCATTCAGAAAAAGCATCTTTTTCTGGGAATTTTAATCATTGCAGGTAAATAAGATAGCATTCATGAATGTTGGTTGTCTTACAGTGATTGTTAATATTTTTTAACCTTGTTCAACTCTGGGGAATTTAAATCTCCTGGTGGAATGGAATGTAATTAATATAAATTCTGTATATTAAGCTGTGAGTTTTAAGTTATATGATCCAGAAGTGATATGTACGTACCACTTATTTGTCTGAAGCTTAAAAAGATCTCTCCCTTCACTTCTTCCCTCCCTCCCTCTCATATCTATATGTCAAGAGAAAGTATTTGGGGTAAATGTGGGAATGAAACTTGTTCCCAGTTTATTTTCCTAAGAAATAATCTCAACTAACTACTGGATTTCTCAAACACTGCTTTATTGGCATTTTAGTCTGGATAATTCTTGCATGGTGTTTATCTTGTGCATTGTGGAATATTTAGCAACATTCTGTTAGAAGTAAACACTTCATGCTCCTCCCTAGAGAGCACAATGAAAAATGCCTTTAAATAGTTTCAGGTGTCCCCTCAGAGCCAAAACCTTCCAGCAGCTTAAATCTAGTCACGTAGAAGACTACCTATAGAATGATATGAGGCAGCCCAAATCATGACTTTGTTGTTGAGTACTACCAGACTTACCTTAGATTGCATAATACAAAGAGAAAACAAAAATGTTCCCTTCATTCTGAGTTAGGGAAAAATCAGACAGACCATACCTCATTTCCCAAATCATCCATCAACAGGAACTGCCAGGTGTACTCCACCCCATTTGTTGCAAGTTAGTGGCTGGAAGTGGGAATAGGGAGCAGCTAATCATCCTCTTAAATGTATCCTGTGGCAAAAAAAAAAAAAAAAAAAAAAAAAAGCGAGGTTGTATGAAACAAATACTGATTGCCCAAATCTTTTCAGCACTACCCTGAAGCAGTGGTTTTAAAATACTTAAAGAACTATAAGTGATGTGGGGAAAGCTGGGACTGTACTCAGAAATTATAACATTGAAAAAGTCACTTAAAATCTTGTGAAAGTCTATCATAGGAAGTGTATAAGCTTATTGTTAAATAATTAAGGGGACCTGGGTTGGAGGATTGAGCTCAGTGGTACAGGGCTTGTGTAGAATGGGCATGGCCCTGGAATACTTCTCCAGTCCCACACAAAGAAAAAGGCAGAGGAACTGCATCTGAGCCATGCTGTAAAGGAAGAGTTTCCAGCAGAGGATTTCTTCTGCATTGTCCCCTTTCCCACCTTAACAAATTGCTACCCACTTTTTGAGTACTTTCTTCCCCTCAAACTACCAAAAGATCCAGTATTTATATTAATTACATTACCGAAAGGGCCTTATGCCAAGAAATATATTAAGCCATAAGATAAAACACAAAAAAGTTCCTGGACCAGCAACTTTACTAGATGGTGAATTTTATGGTAGTTAAACCTAAATGGTATAGAGGAAGGTGTGCATTTTATATAATGTTTTATGGTCACATTTTTGAGGAAAGCCATTTTATGAAAGGTCAGAAAAAATGAAATACTTCAAGCGAACTTGTTCTTTAATCACTAGCTTTACTTGCTTTAAAGTTGTGTCTTAATCCTGAACAAAAATCACTCTGTTGGAATGTCCCATCATTATAAGTTAATCGTTTTGATTGGGACTAGATTTTTGTTGTTTCCAGATAACACAAGAAAGCTGGTCAGTTAGCAGCTCCCTCCTGCCAGAGTACCCAGTGTGTTGCTTCCCTCCTGGTTACAAAATCTTTGCTGGCCGTAGTTCTTGTCAGCTTAAGCGCTGTATATCCCAGCAAGAAAAGAGTTGTGTGCCTAGTTTCTGGATATAGTTAAATGGGAATATTCTAGTACCTCAACATTTCAGCTGACCACTATTCTTGGTAGTGGAGATTGAACCTAAGGGTTTTTATGTTTTGTTTGTTTTTGTTTTTGTTTTGAGATACGGTCTCACTAAACAGCCTGAGATGGGCTTGAACTTGAGATCCTCCTGTCTCAGGTGGGATCACAGAGCTGCTCCACCACACCTGGCTATATTATCCGTACATATCCTTTCAGTGTCCTCAGTCTTTTCAGACCTTTATGAATAAACACTGTGAGCCTTTAGAAACATTCAAATACTATTTATTGAGCTCCCTATGCCATGCCAGATACTGTGTTAGGGCACATGATACATTTCTAAAGGTCATAGGAAAAGGGTCAGTGGACTGTTAGGCAAGGTTCAGTCCCAGCACTGCATTCCACACCAACACTGCCCCTGCCCCCTGGCATATTGCCGGCCACCAAGACGGGGCATGGTGGTGCAGGCCTGTAATCCGGCACTGGGAGGCTGAAAACAGGAGGATCACTATGAGTCTGAGCTGTGTAGTGGTACACAGTACCAAATACATTATATAAAAAAAGGTCATAGGAATAGGAAGTAAAAGTTTATGATAAATATCAAGAAAAATTGTACAATGTACACAGTGGTAGGCGTTGGCATCAAGAGGAAAATCAGGCTGATGGTGAGCCCTTCCTAAGTGCCACCCACAGTTAGGATGCCAATGCCAACTGAGTCCCAAGAACTCAAGTGAAGGTTCTATCAATAGGCAGAGCTTAAATTTCCCCAAATGTGAAAAAGCAGGAGTTACTTGGGCAGACTGTCAAAGCTTCCTGGTGGTAGTATAGAGTTTAATGGCCATGTAGGAAGTAACTACAGCAGGCAGTGCAAGGGAGCAAAAGTAAATCAAAGGGCCAGGGAGATGGCTCAGTAGAATGAGCCATTAAAATAGGCCTGGCAAGCGCAAGGGCCTGAGTTCAATCACTGGTTCCACAAAAAAAAAAAAAAAAAAGTAAATCAAAGTCTGTAACAGGATTCATAGGGGCAGGGAAGGACTCAAGGTCTGGTGAGTTATACAAAGGATTTTTGCATTCTAAGAGCAGTGGAGAATTGTTAGAAGTAGTGGTAGATTTTTTTAAATATCAGTACTGGTTGGCAAGAGGACAGGAAATGCTGAGAGGTCACGAGTCACATTAGTGAGTGTAAAACAACAAAGCAAAAAAATGGTCTTGTACCAAAGCTTTTGGTCCATGAAGTGCATGGATGAGAGCTGTTTAGCTACTAAGACAGACTGGAATTGATGGTGCTGAGCTATTAGTGGTGGGAGAGGGGAGTATCAAGGATGGTTCTAGGTTTCTAGATCACATAGGCTGAGTAAATGGAAGCAACATAAGATGAAAAAGACAGTGAAAAGAAAAGAAAAGAAAAACAGAATCTGACATGATGGTGGACAGGTGGTGAGCACAGTGATGGCACAGGGCACTTGAAAATACTGGTGTGGAGTTTGAAGGATAAGCCAGAGAGATTGGAGTCTTCTGCATACTTGGATCGTTTTTATTTTTTAATTTTTATTTATTTATTTATTTATTGGATGGTTTTTAATGTATGGGGAGAGGATGAAATTCTGAGTGTAGTGTTTGGGTGAGTTGCATAGAGTTCCAGCATTTATTGGGCTTGTGGTAAAGGACAAACTTGCAGAAGAAACAGAAGAATGTGTTAATGACCCAGTAAAAAATCCCTGTATGCTTTCTCAGCTGAGCTTTCAGTGCCCGTGCTGGTGAGCAGTTACACAAAGTAAGGACGTAAACTTTACTTTGGGTTTAGTGATCTGGAGATCACTGACCAGTTGAAATGAGAGCTGGGTCAGTGTGAAAGTAGAAATGTGTAGAAAGCTGTGGAGCAGGGCTGAAATACGAAGGCTGAATCAATCATTCAGGTTTCTGTTGTGCTCTGAGGGAAGGGGGGTTGCTAAGGAATGTGAGAGAACTGGGAAAATGAAGTTGAGACATTGATCATACAAAAGAAGAGTGATTACCAGTTTTCTACATTGCACAACATAAAGGCACAATTGGCCATTAGATACTTGTTTGGGGAAGTACTGTATACCAGCTGTCATAGGCAAAGGGGTTACAAGCTAGTCACAACCCCAAGAAACTAGCAGTTAAGACAGGAGATTTCACCTTATAGTATCTGCTACGTAACGTGTTTATAGAAGTGAGTAGGGGAAAGGTTTTACTTTTTTTTTTTTTTTTTTTTGAGACAAGGTAGTAGTCTACGCTGTACTATTATATAATCCCAGCCCTCAAACTCATGGCACAATCCACCTGCCTCAGCCTCTTGAGTGCTGGAATTACAGGCATGTGCCACCACATCAAGCAGGGAAAAGGTTTTGAACTTGTATCTACAATAACTTTTTAAAAATTGTAAAATACACATAACAAAATTTACCACCTTAGCTAGTTCAGTAGTTTTAAGTATAGTCACATTGTTTAATATTCTGTATTTAAGTATATTCACATCGAATATACTGAAATCTCCTGAGCTCTTGCATCTTACAAAGTTGAAACTGTCCAGTAAACAACTCATCTCCCCAGCCTCTGGTCCTAAAAAGGAAAAAAATTAAATTTTAGAAAATTATATATGTATTTCCTGATTTAACCTCCCAGAATGCTGAGATTATGGGCGAGCTCCACGACTCCAGGCTTAGATTTATAAGCACGGAAATAAGATCAACCAACCAGCCAGCCACAAGGGCTGTAAAAAGCCCGATAGTTAAAACATCTTTGCTTCAAACCTCTCTAGCAAGACTTGCAAGATTTGCTTTGATCCCAAAATGTAACCATTGTTAGCAAATTTCCACCATCCGGACTCACTTTGTGGCTCAGTTACTTAAAAAAAAAAAAGTCAACCGGTATTAAAATGTGGATCTCTTATCGTCCTTCGGGGCTTGGTCAGGAAACAGGTTTGGCAGAGGCATCTACGACAAACATCAAGGAGCGAGTCTTTGGATTCCGCAGGGACAGCCACTGAGCAGGCGAGAGGGAAGTCCCCGCCTCCTCACCCCAGGCCGCGGCTCCTCCTTCCTTTGCAGTTCTCCGAGGCTTTCAGGATCCGCGGTTCGCGGCATGGGCGCCGACCCCGAGCTGGGGGCCGTGGCTGGCAGCTCGCTGCTGCTGTGCACCGCGCTGCTGGCGGCAGGCAGCGCACTGGGCCTGTGCTTGGGCCGCGGGCGGGGGGCTGCGGACCGCGGGGCGCTCGCCTGGCTGTGCTATGATGCCCTGGTGCACCTTGTGCTGGTAAGTGCTTTCACCTGGGGCCTCAGCCTTGCAGGAAGGTCCCTCCCATCCCAAGGGTGTTCTGGATTGCACCCGACTGGAAAGTACCTAGAGGCTGAGGCGCGAGTACTGGTGGCAGCAGGCTGTCGGTTCTGTCTGGGGAGGCAGAGTCGACTACCAACACTGAAGTCCCTGAACATTGCTAAAGGATTATCTGAACAGATCATGTTGGTTGTATTGTAAGTCATTCAAAGGCCAGAACTTTGACTTTCTTGTCTTTGTTACCTACACAAAATGTTGAACTTAAAAAAATGATATCAAAATCTGGGCCTGCATCAAGACAAAAAACCCTGTGCTTTAAATAAGTAATCACCACTTGTTGAGCACCTACTGTGTGCTGGGCACGGTACTGTGTTTAAAATTTCTGATCTTCACATAGCCTATAAAGTAGTTATTATTGTCCCCATTTTACGGAGGCAAAAGAAGTCCTGAAAAGTTAGTAACTTTTCTTGACTCCAAAGCTTGTGCTAGCATTCCATCCTTTAGGAAATGTGTCCTGAAAAATTCATTGTAGTTCATGACTAGCCAATACACTTAAGGGAATTCTACTGAAATACCCCCACCACTTTTTTATTTTTATTTTTTTTTCTTTTCAAAGTTTTATTGATAAACATATAGCAATGAGACAGTTTCAAATCAAATCGAAAGTACAGTTTCAACAAATAATACACTGCATATATTCTTCTTAGTGGTTAATTGCTGTACAAGATGCAGACTTGTGATCCTACTTACAAACACCATTAGAAAAAATCATTCTATTCATTAAGAGAATGCAACTATATATCTATCCCAACCACTTTGAATACACAGATACAAAATGGACATTCATAGTTATACCCCAATTTTTTTTTAAGTTCCATTGTTGAATATTATAGGTGTGTAAACTCAGCAAAATATTCTAAAAGAGTCCAGTAGCCCATAATAGCATTGAGTCTTCTGTTTAATTGGCAATGTCAGAAATTATTGACCTGAGTCCCCCACAGCTCAACATAACAACATGGCTTTACTTCCTATATTTCCGTCTTCATACTTTTCTACTGGATGGTTAAGACCAAGGTAAAGCAGAACCTATGCAACAAGAGTTGTAGCTTTTTGGTTTGAGAAGGTCAGTGAAATGCCCTCAGGATTTATCCTGAGATCCTGTACCTCAGATTGTAGAACCTTTGTCAGTGCAGCCATGTGGATGAGTCACGGCCATTGCTTGGCCAATGTGCTCTCTGTGAAAGCCTGAGAGAGTGTCTTCTCCCACCACTTTTTTAAATTATAGATAGATAGATAGATAGATAGATAGATAGATAGATAGATAATTTTAGGGAAGTGTCTACAAAGGGTCTGCAGAGTGTTCAGGGTCACACTACTAGATCGGACTCATAGTGAGCCTCCCAGGAGTGAGCACAATATATTTGTTGAGGGAAAGAAAGCTCCTGTCCAAGAGAGGGACAGGAGGGAGGCCCGGAGTGGGTGGTTCCAGGGAAGCTACTTCTTCCAGGGACTTTTATAGAGGAAAACTATGTGGTGAGGCAGGTCTGAGGTGGTGGAGAACATGGGAATTCACTTAGGTGGGCATAAGGTGGGACAAAACTATGGTCAATGAGATTACAAGCGCCATTGCTTGGGTAAAATCCATTAAATCCAGTCATGTAGCAAGTGCGACAGGGTCTCTTCCTGTTGGTGGTTGGGTTAGTGACTCATTTGGGCTCTTTCAAGGTGATTGATACCTATTTAGAAGATCAATCCCTGATGCCCATCCCTGGGGAAGTATGTAGCAGTATTTGTTTCCTCTTTTGTCTTGAGGTCTGGCCCATATAGGAGTGTCTTTTTCTTCCTAGTTGCAAAGTCACTTTGTCTTTTATCTTGTCCTTGAAGGCCTGACCCTGTCTGACTGCCTGTAATATTTCTTTCTAATTCAGCTGCCTACAACGTTACCCCTCTGAAGAAGTAACCCGAACAGCCATGAAGGAACCATGAGCGATGACCATTCTGACTTCTTCAGGCTGAAAGGGGTCATAGTTGTAAACTGGAAGTCAAAGATACTCTCCAGAGGTTCTGTATAAAGGCCCTCAATATACACCAGGCATTTTTATCTTGGGTAGGCAGAATAGCTTTAAATCTGGAGGAAACAAAGCCAAAGCAACTATTAAACATGCATGGGTCGAATAATCACAACAAGATAATTTATGAATATAGTCAAAGATCTATATCAAGTAGACAGTAATGACTTCCTATAAAATGATAAAGATAGGGTCCAGGGGACCTCAGCTCGCATACCATTGATTTGATGTCTAATATCTTGGACATTAGAAGGATCTGGAATGTAACAATCTTTTTTAAGTTTGTAATTATAAAGACTAGTTAGAACTTTTTGTAGGTTTATTAGCAGAGATCTCTTAAATGTGGGGTTTAATCTCGTTATCTTCCATGGCCACTGGCTATTATCTCAAACAAGCTGGTCTTTTATTTCTCACCAACTCTACTATTACTTAGGGTACACAAATTGCAAGAAATAGGGAAAACATTCAGTATTAATAGTTTGTGGGGCCACTGGCTGGGTAATTACTGACAAATCTGCATACGCATCTATTAAAAGTTTAACAGGCTTTTTACTTATATTGGAAGGTAACATAGGTTCCTTCAGGCTGAAAGGGGAAGACCCATGACTGAGTCTGAAATTTCCTCTGACTCCATCATAAACATTTTCTTTTTTCCCTCTCTAGCAGCTTTGGACATTTTTTGCTTGAAATGTCCCTTCTCTCTGTCTGGATCCAGGGAAGCATAACTTTTTCCTGTTTCCTGACTGGCCTTGGTTCCTGTAAATTGCTAGATCGACGATCATTCTCATTTTCCATCTATAATTCCATTCTGTTTCCTTTCTACTATTAAACACCTCAACTCAGATCAATTCATTCCTGCAAACCCTTCTAACTTCTGCAACTTGTGTCAGATACTGGGGATCACTGAGCAAGGTATAACTTTTTGGTTTTAAAGCCTCTTGCAGGCAGCCCTGCCCAAGAAATGTGAGGGCAACTTCCCCTGTAATGGATTCCTGACATAGGATTAGACTGATAGAGGAAGTGTCTTTTGAGGACGATCAGCCCTGCCCAAGAAACATAAAGATAACTCCTTGTAATGGGGCAGGAAACCCAGAGAAGGCTCAGCTCACCTGAGTTATATGAAATGGACAGTTAGTTAAGGCCTTAATATGTCTCTGTAGACAAAATCTGGTGGATCCCAATAAAAGGAATCTAAAAGGAATCTAGCTTATTTGCTCTAGGTTTTACCTGTATGATTACCTGGGTTTTGATACCTTCCAAGAAAGAACACATTTTCTGAGGGATTAGAGCATGAGTAATCAAAGCATGAGCGTATAAGCTAACAGATAAATTTATGATTTTTTTGAGGCATAGCAATTGTAACTCACTAGCTCTTAGACCCCTTTATTTATGGAGTCTGACATTTTTCTATAAGTCCCTCTAGCTTCAGTGAAAGAGAAGTCACACCTATATTAACTACCAACATGAAATACCTGAGGTACATCAGAAATCAACTATGATGAACTTATACACTTCTCATGAAATATATAACATTCAGTCAGATTAAAACAATGTTTCATTCATTGTTTTAGATATGGGGGTCTGGGGAGATAGCTCAGTAGAATAAGTGCTTGCCTGGCAAGCTCAAGGGCCTGAGTTCAATGCCAAGTTCCACCAAAACAACAACAACAACAAAAAACATTGTTTTGGATATGGCCCCCTTTTGTAAGCAAGGGGCACTGCTGAAGGATCCTTTTAACACTGTGGCTCTGAGTTTTATGTCACAAATATTAAACCTGGCTCTATCTATAGGCCAAAAAGTATTGGACACTGTGTAGCCAGTGTCTTTACAACCTTTTTTACACTGACAATTCTATCTGACCTCCTAGATACTTTTTAAAGTTTTTATTTGTTTGGTTGTTTTTGTTTTTGTTTTTTAACTAAGCTATCCCCTCCTTTTTCTGAATTTCAGTTAGCTTAAATTTGTGCTTATAATTCCCATAGTTTTTATTTCCTAAAAGACTTGAAAACTCAGGTGAAAGTATTGGCTTTTATTCTTCCTGAAGCAGCTTTGGAACAACTTCAGAGCCAAAAAGGTGACAGAAAGTACTGTTGAGGTCTCCATAATGTTTAGACCTCAGATAGCAAAGTCCCAAGGTGACCTCCTGCACTGTCTTCTACTCCTTTTTCTCCCCAAGTTCAGCATAGAAACTAGAATTTCACTTCTCTCTGGTGGGTTGTAGAATCTAAAAGGAAAATCATCCCCTGAATATCTATCTTGGAGCTGGCTACATAAGGAAGTTCTCTGACCTCCTTCTTATAGATAAGAGCTCCATTTAAGAAAAGGGGAAGGAAAAATGATGCATAGAGGGACTAAAAACAATCTACAGATGGGCCTGGCTGGGCTTTCCATTCAGGTTGCTGCTGTTTACTATGGTTATAATACAAAATGCGCCCCCCCAAGGCATATCTCCTTGAGGCTTGGTTGTTGAGGGGCTTTGGGAAGTGATTGATGACAAGAGTTCCAATTTTATCAGTAGATTAACAACAAACACACAGATGAGATCATAATCTGATGGCATTATGGGGACATGGTGAATGTGGGAGGTGGACCTGATTGAAGAGAATGGATTGTGGGAAAATGAGCCTGGTGACTGCATCTTGTTTTTGGCCTTTTCTCTCAGTTTCTTTCCCTTCTCTCTGCTTTGTGCCTGTCTGAAGATGCGTAGCTTTCCTCTGCCACCCACTTCTGCCTTGAGTTTGTTGGTTGATTTGTCTCACACTGGTTGAGATGGGGTCTCGCTATGTAATTCAGGCTGGCCTTGAACTCACTAAGTAGTCTAGGCTAGCCTCCTATCACAGTGGTCCTCCTGCCTTGTTCTCCCAAGTGCTGGGATCACAGGCATGTCCAGCAGTCCCGGTGACACCTAA